TGAAAAGTTTAGAGGGGATGAAGATTTGGTCTCCACAGGCAGGGCTCCCTGTGATATGAATCCAGAACTTCTGGTAAACCAGTATCTTCCCAGCAGGCCCCCAAGGACTCCTTGATGAGTAGAGGGTGAGTGAACTTGGAGCGGTTTGGGTGGAGTGCAAAGTTCTGCAGGCGAAAATCCCCCCTCCAGAGCGTGGGTGGAGAAAAGGGCTTCCAGAGCACAGTTGGTTTAGCGATGCGACATCAGATCATTGCCTCACCAAAGTCCATGGAACTGGACCTGCAGATGTCCGGATGGGCTGCTAGACAGCTCGAGCACTTCACCCCGCTGGGAGGGGGAAAGGGACAGCCAACGAGGACGTTGGTTTGATCCCATGATTACAGATGCCCTGGCCAGAACCGTGGGCTCGCCAAGGCTGCCGTGAGAGGTGTGATAGAGGCACCTAGACGGATGGTCCGGAGCTCTTCCAGTGCTGCTATCACTGCTCTGAGAGCTCGCCTGGGGAGGCTGAAGCTAACCATGGCTACGCCTCCTTCCCCAGTTGGGCCCCCTCTGGTGTTGGTTGCCTGTGGGAGCTCGTCACCGGCTTTTCATCTCCTTGTGCTTTGTCCTCCTGCCAGTCTGGTATTGACCATTACTCTGCCCTGGCCCTGACCCCCCCCCTCCCCCCTGCACTTGTAGGTTTGTAACAGCAACAAGAACTGCCACTGCAACGCCGGCTGGGCCCCCCCGTACTGCGAGAAGCCAGGCCTGGGGGGCAGCGTGGACAGCGGCCCCGTGCAACACGACAGTGAGTTCTGATGTCAGGCCTGAGGTGGAGGGGGGCGGGGAGGTGGCCCCAGGGCTTCCACACCCCCCCCTCAGCTCAAAGCCGGGCCACTCCCTGGGATGGGAGGTGGGAGTGAAGGAAGCATGGAGCTGCTCTCTTGTGCCCCAAGAACGGCGAGCTGATGGGACAGTACCCAAGTGGGGAGGATCATTCGGCATCTCCAGCTGTTCTCCCCATACACAGGGAGAGCTGTTGGCAATGCTACCCCACAGCTGCCTCTTTAGCAGCTTCTCGGGTCCCCGGTGGCTGGGCAGGTGCCACAGGCTGTGCCTGCAACTCCAGCTTGCCCCGGGGAGGGGGGAGGGGGGGCATACATCAGGCATGCCGTTTTGCGTGTGCAGGTTAGGCCCACAGCAAAGCTATCGGGGTCTGGGTTTGCGGCGCTGGTGGTCAGAGAAGGCGGCTCTGTACTGGTTTGCTGTGAGCCCCTACGAGGCGCAGTCAACGGAAGGGGATAGACACAGATCGCGGTGTTTCTACGCCGAACTGCTCTGACGTCCGCCTGTCAAATGGGAGCGGGTGTTTTCCACCCCTAATGTAAGGGGCTGATACAACTTCAAGCCCCCTCCTCATCTCTCCACTTCCCCCTCCTCCCCAGACCATGAAGCCATCTTGATAGCCATGCTGGTCATCTTCCTGCTGATCCTCCCCGCCACAGCTTTGGGGATCTACTGGTGCTACAGACGGAAGAACTCGCTCCTGAGCAAATGGATAAAGAGCACGAGGAAGAGCCAGGAGACGGGCAGGTGAGCGACTGATGGAGCCAGAGACCATCTCCCCCTTGAGGACCCAGCGACACCCACAATTATTTGATTCTGCGCCTCGACTCACTGGGGGAGAGAATGGGTGGGATTAGCGGTATAGAGCTTAGGGCCCAGATTGTTAAAGGCATTTAGGCACTGTGGCGCTCAGCGGTGCAATGCCTACCTGATTTAGGAGCCTAAATTTCATTGTTAGAAGGGATTTAGACACTTAGGAGCCAAAATCCCATTGTTAGTCACCTTCAACACCTAAAAATCTGGGTCTACCTCTGATCTGATCTAATGCCAGTTTCACATGGAGTCACTTCGGTGGAGTTACTTGCAATATACGCTGATGTGAGATCAGTGTGTGTGATTCTTGCTTGCATGCCTGGGGTTAAACTGATAGCCAAATCTGAGGTTGGGAAGGCATTTTCTCATGGCTGAATTGGAGTTTGCATCTCCCTCCAAAGCACTGAGCAGGAATGATTCATTAGACTCAGGTGCATCCTACACGAACACTGGCTACCTCCATGCAGGTGTCATCTTCTGGTCTTAGGGGACTGCAGAAGTTTTCTGTGTCAAACCAGAAACCAGATCAGTTCAGCATTTCATGTGTTCTGTCTGGTCCCCATCCTCCTCCTCTCTGAGCCTCACCCAAATATTTAAAAACACAGTTTACAGCAAAGGAAACCAGCCCCATCTGTCGATTTACATCCCGGGCACGTTCAGAATATGCCTCTGTGAAAATGCTACCTTCCCTCGGGTATTAAAAGCAGCCATGTAACCATACTCGCTTCCCCTTCTGGTTCACATGTCCATTCCGGGGTCTGACAGCCAACACCAGTGAGGGCAGCAATTGCAAAGCGTTTGACTTTCTTTATGTCCTGTGTTTTCTGTTTTTGATTGGGGGCAGGAACGGCGCCATCCATCAGAAGGGAAACGGGGGCCATTCGAACGCGGCTTTCACCTTGCAGGATGTTTCCTCCTCTGGTAAAGCTGCGAACAGCACTAACAAAGTAAGTGGGGGCCTCAGATCTTTGCATGACCGATTGCTAGTGTCTGCCGGGTAGCAGATTTGGAGGTGTTGGAGTCAGCAGCTAGAGAGAGACGTGAGCACAAACACACGAAGCTGGTGCACCACTCTAGGCAGAGGAGACGTAAACTTGGAGCAATGTGATTCCTGGAGCTCAAGTAGGCAGGGCGTGTAGTTTTATTGGTGCTGTAGGTGTGGGTTCTGCACCCGCTGACAACTTTGGTGGCTGGGTGTATGTGGCCATGGTTTATTTCATTAGCATCATGGCTGAAGGGCCAGATTCTGCTCTGCTCTAAATCCAGAATAACCCCACTGAAGCCAAGAGTCACTCCAGATTTACACCACAGACTCCAGGCCAGAAGGGACCGTTGTGATCATCTAGTCTGACCTCCTGTGTAACGCAGGCTGGGGAACTGCCCCACGATAATTCCTAGAGCAGAGCTTTGAGAAAGAAAGCAGCGTAACAGAGACCAGAATTGGGCCAAGAATCTGCAACTTGGCTGGTGCTTGACTGACTATTACATTAAATGAAGGCTTCCAGCCACTCATAACCCAGCTAAAATAGGTTATGCTCTCATACATAATGACAAGACCCTTATAATCCAATCACGTGGCTCCTTTTCCCACCAAGGCCTCTTCCTCCTGATTTGCTTTTCACCGCTGCCTTTTGAACAGTGGTTCACTTTCTGAACCATTCCCCTAAGTCCCATCGTCTCCGGGACAACCTGGCAAGTTGTGGCAGGTTAGAACGACATCCCAAAGGTGCCACTTATCAGAGGTGGCAAATGACTCTCCTTTAATGGATCAAAGCCAGGAGTTTACTTTGAATCTCGGCGACTGTGGACAGCTTCGCCGCTTGTCGTTCTGTTCCAGCGCTGGCACTTGGAATCAGTATGGTGGAAGGACGCCTTGGGTTTAGTGAGCATGTCCGCTCTGGCTGGATGGCTGCTTGGAGCCCGCAACTCTCCTGTCCTGTGTGCCCTCTAAGCTGCGCAGCTGGGCGGCCGCCCAGGAGCGATTCAAGTGCCCTGCGGCTGATTAGCAGAGCGCGCACATCCGGCGGCGTGTGTTCAGGTGCCCCTCCTCCCGCTGCTTTGCAGCCGTGTTGCTCCTGCAGCTGCTCCCGGTACCCTCCTCCTGGCTGTGCCGAGTGCGGGGGGAGGGAGATGCTGACGTCAGGGTGTTCCCCCTCCTCCCACCCCTGTACCCCATCTCCGCAGAGCAGGAGAGGGGACGGCCTGGCTCAGGACTTGGAACTGCTGCGGTTTGAGGTCTGGACTATGGTGGGTGAGTGAGTGTGCCTTTCTTAAAGAGACAGCACACGGTCTCTGAGCCTTCCCCATCAGCCAGATCATCACACAGTCTGTCTCTCTCACCCCCCCCCACCCCGCCCATGTACCCCATATCCGCAGAGCCGGGGAGGGGAGACAGGGCTCAGGAGAGCTTTCAGTGAGTGCCTTAAAGAGACAGCAGAGGACGTCTCTCAGAAACTTTCTGTGCATTTCATAAATTTTATTTCTCTTACACCTAAATTTAATTCTTTGAGTAGTGAGTTCTAGAATGCCTAACCTGTCCTGGCTGGAGTAATTATCCCTATTTAACATTTTAAAAATATATATATTATATCTAGGTTTTTTGTTTCTCCTGGTGGCGCACATCCGCACATACCTCGGTGCATGTAACAAAATGTATTCCACACATGGATGGAAAAAATTAGAGGGAATATTGCTCCTGTCCTCTCCCAGAATGCACTGGGTCTGGTGGAAAATCTGGGCTGGATACTTCCAAGATAGTCCCTATTCCTAGTCCCTCTCTCGGGGCAACAGTCCCAAGGCGCTATGTTCCACTCCGCTTGTGAAGATTGAGCATGGCCTTCAGTCACGTGAGGGAGAAGGGAAGGAGAAGAGGCGGGAACAGTTGAGTACTGACCCGCACAGGAGCAGAGGAACACATAGGTACTGAACTGCTGGGTGCCTGCTGAGGGTAGTCCCCTCCCAGTGACCGGGGACCTGGGCCTTAGGTTTGACTCCATTTGTTTGTTCTTCCGGCCTTGCAGACAGCCAGGGGCATCTTCCCCCTCAAGCCGAACGGTTCCCAGCCCGTCAGCATTGTCCACCCCCTTCGCCCGGCTCCCAGCCCAGCCGCTCAGCCCCACCGAGACCTCAAGCCATCCAGGCCGCCGCCTCCTGGCGGCAAATCCCCCGTCATTCCGGCCAAAAGGATCAGCTCCCAACCCAAGCTGCTGCCTCCAAAGAAGCCTCTTCCCAGCAGCCCCGTGAGGACCCCTGTGGTGAGTTTCCCTGGTCGCTCCCCAACGCACAAGGGTTTGGTTGCTGTGTCAGTCCCTCTTGGCGTACGATGAGGTGTCCTCTCCCACCTCAATCAGCCAGGCTACCGCTGGGTGTCTCTCTGTCCCCCTCTAGGGGTGAGGCCATGCGTTGCCTCTGAGCTGACACTGGCTCCAGCGGTAGAGGCTCATGCTTTTAGATCCCAAGGGCCTGGGTTCAGACCCCACCTTGTGCACCCGGGGCTGATGGCGGACAGCCCCAGAGGCTGCCATGCTGGTGGCCTGTCTGTCCACAGAACAGGACTCTGCCCCGGGGCCGCCACCCCGAGAAGGGATTTCTGCCTCTGTGGCTCTTTCCAATGAGGTGCTGTGCTGCTGGGTCCCCCCCAAGAGGTGGCTGTTTCAATGGTGGGCAGAGCTAGCGATATACAGCAGCAAGAGAGGCTTTGAAGTCTGCCTGGGTCCCCTGGGGCACAACCTCTGCACCAATACCCCATTTCTAGTCCCCAGCAGCCCCAGCTCCCTCCTGGGAGAGGCCGTGTTGTGGGCAGTTGGGGATTGTTCCTGGGACAGGGAATCAGCTGGATTGACACCTGCTTGTACCTTGGTCTCCTCTAGATCGTCCCAAAGCACGGACCCCCTCGCCGGCCTCTGCCTGGGAGCCCTCTCCTGGCCAAAACACCTCCCTCGGCACCGGGACGGACCCTGCTGGTCACGGTCCCTCCCACCAACTTCAAGGCGGCAGGGGCCAGCTCTGCCAGGTACCTAACCAAGTAAGTCCAGAGTAAAGCTCGAAGCTCGGCTGCGTCCTGGCAGGATCCCGGGTTCAGCGCGCTGGGGCTGAGGTTACCAGGACAGGTCCCCCCTGCCCCGCAGTTGTAGAGAGCAGGGTCCTGGTGTGGCAGACATGCCCCATTCCCTTGCTACGGCAGTAACGGAGGAACTGCAGGCAGCCTCTAAAGCACTGAGCGCTGACGAGTGTGAAACAACAGTGAGCCGGCGGCCGGCACCTCCTGGGCCCAGGCAAATGGTCCGTGGGGCTTGAGAGGGCCCAAGTCAGTGAGTCTCCCGGGCTGAGGGGTGCCGGGTGACTGGCCCAGGAGGCAGCGCTTGGTAGTGATGGGGGAAGTCTGGGCAAAGAGAGCCTGATGGAGTGCCCGAGGGGACGGTCGGTTTGCTGGTGAGGAGGGGGCTGGGGCTGAGCAGGGGCCAGGGGAATGGTCCGGGGGGCAGTCGGGGGGAGGGAGCTGGATGCTTGAGGAAGCACTATGGGGGGGTAGTAAATGCTCTGTGTGGCTGGAGGGGCACTGTGGGGGCAAGGGTGAGCGAGTTCTCGCTGACTGAGAGGCCCCTGGCAGGGAAGGGGCTGTGCTCAGAGGCCCGGGCAAAGGGGCTGTGGCATGGGAAATTTCTGTACAGTCAGACGGCATTTTCCTTCAGCCTGAGCTGCCCGCAACCTGCCAGGCTGTGCCCAGAGACCCGAAGGGCTGGGGGGGGGGGGGGGGCGCGTGCAGGATTTCCCTGCAGGGTTGGGGCCTGTTCCCTGCCGTGTGCCCAGAGCGCAGCGAGCCGGCTGCAGCAGCAGTAACAAGGGAACCAGGCTGTGACCGGGCTGAAGCCCACGCCCTTCCCCGTTCCAGCCGTCCCCCTGACGCTGCACTGTGTGGCAGGAGCTTGCCTTGCCAGCAGGAAGGATGGCCTTGTGGTTAACAGGCCGGATTGGGGAGCGGGAACTGCAGGTTCAGTCCTCTGCTCTGCCACAGACTCCCTCTGTGACCTTGGGCACATCACTTTCCATATGTCTCCACTCCACACTACGGGCATGTCTGCACTTGAAACGCTACTGCTGCAGTGACAGGAGGGGTCTCCCGTTGGTGTAGGTAATCCACCACGCCAGGAGCCAGTAGGTCGCTCGGAAGAATTCTTCCATCATTGCCCCAGAGCTGTCTATACTGCGGGGGGTCAGGTCGGCTTAACTGTGTCGCTCATGGGTGCGGGTTTTTCATGCCCCTGAGCGATGTGGTTGGGTCGACTTCGCTTTTGAGCGTAGACCTGGCCTAAGCCTGGGCTCTGATTCAGGTTTGAGCCAAGCCCCCCTTCTGTCCACACACAAATCAGTCTGACTCGGGGACACAAGCGCTTAGGCTCCAGGTCCCAGGACGCAGCTAGAGAGGTGAGTCCTGCTGTGGCTTGGGTCCAAGCCCCGGTCATTGTGCAGTGCGGCTGCAGTGCAGTGTGGACACTCTAGCATGGCCGGGAGACCTGGGTCCAAGCCCAAGTTTCCAGTGTGGTGTGGACGTTCAAGCGTGGGCTTGGAAACAGAGTCCACAAGCCCAGGTCTCACAGACCCAGGTTTACAATGCAGTGTAGACATCCTCTTAGTCACTCTGGGCCTCATTCCCATGTGGTACGTCAAATGGGACCTCAGTAATATTGCCCTTCCTGGCAAGGCCATAGGGCCCATATCAGAGCGCTGGCGTCTCATTGGTAATCATATTTATTACGGCAGTGCCTCAGGGCCAGCCAGGAACGTGGCCCCATGCTGCTAGGGGCTGCACAAACACAAGGGGGCGCCCCGAAGGGTTACAGTCCCAGCAGACAAGCCAGACCCCGGCGTCAGCAGGATTTGGGTGGGGCCTGGGCCGCGAGCCGTCTTTCTGCACAGGCGTGAGTTGGAGCTTGATGTTTATGAAGCCCCTTCAGTGCCGAGAGCTGCACAATGGCTGGTTGGTTTCTGCTCTCTCGAACGTGGTGTTTTTCTCCTTCTCTCCGTTAGGCCCGTCCCGGGGTTCAAAGTCCAGTCCGCCTCCATCCCCTTTAAGAAATGACAAACGTGGACAAAGCAAGAGGAATGTGCTCCCCGAACTGGTTCTCCTCATTTGCACTACTGCGGGCGACGGGGCTCTTTTGGATACCAAAGGACTATTTTTATACGAGGGAAAATGTTTCTGCACATAGGGGGGAGGGTGCGGGGGAGGGGAAAGCGGTACGGTGCTATACCGGGGGGGTGGGCAGCTTGCGGCGTTAACCGTGACGCATCAGCTGCCTGCCAGGGGAATCACCCAGACTCTGCTCCTTCCTAGCTATGCCTGCTGGGCTGGGAAGGAGCAGATCTGGGTCTCCTAAGCAGCCAGCACTGATGGAAGAGGCTGGTGACCAGCCCCAAGGCAGCACCTAGCTACCTTCTCCTCCATGGCGCGCCTCTCTCGCCACCAGACTCCAATGCTGGACGTTATTACCGCAGCTGGCGCCGGCGATCCACGCGTCCCGGGGGACCATGCTATTGCCGACTCAAACGGCGCCACCTAGCGGTGGGATGTCTGACTGGCGTGTCCCTGGAGGATCCTTATTGTCACCCTCCCCGGCCTCCTCCGTGACAATCGTGGAGAACCCAGCAGAATAAGTTGTTCTGAAGAGGAGCCAGCTGGGAGCGCTTCTCTCATGCGGCACGTGTGGCAACGGGGTTTCAGCTGCACGGCTATTTCAGGGAGCGGGGGGTTCCCCAGTCACATGCTTTGTTCCCGTCATATGGTGTAAGCCATGTGGTTGCTTTCTGAGCTGCTAATGTTTTATTATGAAAAGGGGGAAGAAGTGTGGACCAGTGGTGAGAGCAGGGGGCCGGGGAGACCTACTCTCAACTCTGCCACTGACTCACTATGTGGCCTTGGCCAACTCGCTGCGCCGCTCTGTGCCTCAGTTTCCCCATCTGTAAAATGGGGGTAATAATACCTACCTCACAGGGGTGTTGTGAGGTTTGACAAACTGATGTCTCTCAAGGGCTTTACGATCCTCAGATGGAAGGTGCTGCAAAGTATTACGATGTGTTTAATGTCTGAGTCACTTTCCTATGACATGACACCTGACGTCGTCAGTGTCTCTGAAGTGAGAACAATGCCTTTCTCCGGTCTCCTTGTGTTCTTTCGTTTTGCTTGATCTGAATCACCGCCGTCCCCTGGGCACTTCAGTCACAAAGTGCGGTTGTCAAGGCTCTCGTTTCTCAACCCGCTCACAGATTCCTAGGCCAGAAGGGACCAATGCGATCAGCTAGTCTGACTTCCTGTATCTCACAGGCCAGAGAACTAGATCCTCTCCTTTAGAAAAACATCCCATTTGATTTAAAGATTGTCAGTGATGGAGAATCCACCCCAACTCTTGGTAAATTGTTCCGGTAGTTATATACCCTGGCTGTTAAATATGTGACCTTATTTCTGGCCTGAATTTATCTAGCTGGATCATCCAGCCTTTGCATTGTCAGATTTCTGTTCCCCAGAGGTAATTACGGACTGTGATCAAGTCACCCCTTAACCTTCTCTTTGTTACGCTAAATAGATTAAGCCATTTCAGTCTATCACTATAAGGCAGGTTCTCTAATCCTTTAATCATTCTCATGGTTCTTCTCTGAACCCTCTCCAATTTAGCAGTGTTCCAGCAGCAGTCGCACCGGTGCCAAATACAGAGGTGAAATGACCTTTCTGCTCCTATTTGAGACTTTCCTGTTTGTATCAACAATGATCGCACTAACCCTTGGGGCCACAGCATCACCATGGGAGCTCACGCTCAGCCAATCATCCACTATGACCCCCTAGGTCTTCATAGACGAGTGGAAATCTGTAGGAGAGCATCTGTAACAGAGCAGGGCTGAGCTGGGGACCGGAGCCTGGGGGAGATGGAGCGTGAGGACAGTACAGTCTTTACTGTTGAAATATTGTAACGAAGAAGAGTCGACTAGCGGGCAGGGGCTGTGTCACGGACTCACAGATCGTGCCCACTCTTGGCCCCGTGCGGTCCGTGGGGGGGTGCCCCTTTCAGTGAGACAGCCCTTCTCGGGGGTCCACTCTTTTTCGGGGTCAGGCCCCTCCACCTACTGGAGCCGCACCTCTCTGAGCCTTAGCACGTCCGTCTCTGCCATGGGCCCCCTTAGGGAGTCCACTCGCTCTGGACCCCCGAGGCCTCCACCCCCAAAGGGGTTGATGCAACCCTGTTCTCTAGACCAAAGTGACTCTCAGCCAGCATAAAACAGGAGGGTTTATTGAGAGTTGACCACAGCACAGGAAACTCTTAGGGCCTCAGGTTTGGCCTCCCTCAGCCCAGCACATCCCAGTCTCTCTGCATCCAGGTGGGCTCTGCCTGCTCCCCCTCTCCAGCCCAGAGCCCCCTTGCTTCTCAGCTGGGCATCTGAGATCACCGGCCCCAGGCCCCGCCTCTGTCCATTGTCTTCTCTCCAGATAAACAGGGTTGTAAACCGGGGCCTCCTCTTCTCACTTCTGTCCTCTGGCTGGAACCGGCTGGTTAGGTCACTGGCTCCTCACTCTGCAGCCCATTGTCCGCCCACTGGCCAGAACCGGCTGCGTCTCCTCAGCTGGGCCTCTGGGTCACCAGGTCACCGGTCGCTGGGGTATCCATCCTCCCGGCCATCGGCTGGGTCCCCAAGTCCTCTCTCCGGTCCTCTGCAAAACAAACTCCCTCTCCCCTCACCTTGTTAAACCGGTAACACCCAGGGAAACTGAGTCCCACCCCCTCCGCATGCAAACCATTGAAACTCCACAGAAAACAAGAAAACCCCCCACTTCGTCACAGGCTGGCAGAGGGAAGCTGACTGAGTCTATGAGAAGAACGAGCAGTGCGTGATGAGCTAACGTGTGTATTTACACCACTGCTCTCTCTTAGTGTCTCTCAGGCCCCACGGGTGGCCCAGCTCTGCACACAGTGTTCAGCTCCTGCCCTTGCTTCTGTACCGCAGACAACTGGCGGCTGTGTTCATGAGCCACCCGGACTGTAGCGGATGAGAGGGCTGTCCCCTGGTAGGCCTTGCGGGCTGGGTTCCTGTGACTCGGGAACATAAGAACAGAACATGAGAACGGCCATACTGGGTCAGACCAAAGGTTCATCTAGCCCAGTATCCTGTCTTCCAACAGTGATCCATTCCTGGTCACCCATTCCCAGCTTCTAGCAAACAAAGGCTAGGACCACCATCCCTGCCCATCCTGGCTGATAGCCATTGATGGACCCATCCTCCATGAATTTATCTAGTTCTTTTTTGAACCCTGTTACAGTCTTGGCCTTCACTATCTTCTGGCAAAGAGTTCCACAGGTTGACTGTGTGTGGTGTGAAGAAATACTTCCTTTTGTTTGTTTTAAACCTGCTGCCTATTAATTTCATTGGGTGACCCCTAGATCTTGTGTTCTGAGAAGGAGCAAATAACTCTTCCTTATTTACTTTCCATACCCGTCATGATTTTATAGACCTCAATCATATCTCCCTATTGATGCAAAGACTCTTTCAGCCAGCTGTGGACAGGTGTTTGCTCCTTTAGTCTGAAGACACAAAACCCAGCTCCTCTTCCTCCTCAAACAAAAGTCACAAAGCAATAAAGGGCTGCCCCCACCCCCCAGCTGTTTAAAACTGGATCGCCAAATTTATTTGATTTTTCTGGGGAATGGGTACAGTCACCTGCATGGAGCAGAGCCTCTGTACCCGGATTCCCCAGCATCTGAGGGTCAGGTCCAAAATCCACTATGCTTTCACTGCACACAGTTGCCTCTGTCTCTCAGCACACGTGGCATTGAGTGTCCAGACACGGCTCAGGCTGCTGCTGCCCGCTCTGGACAGGAAGAAGAATCTATCAGTGAAAGACAGAACAAGATCCAACAGCTGGATGTTAAAGCCAGACCAATCCAGGCACAGTTTTGCGCAAGGAGAGTAATTTGCCGTTAATGACCCAGGGAAGTGGTGGACTCTCCATTTCTTGGTGGCTTCAAATCCAGGCTTTCTGGAGGATGCTTTAGTCAAACCCACGTAAGTGGGCTCATTAAAGGGGTGTGCCAGGGAAATGTCAGGGCCTGTGAACTACAGGCAGGCAGGCTACATGGTCTAAGGGTCCTTTCTGGCCTTAGAAAGCAGCTCCAAAATAACTAGAGAAAAAAGGGTGACCAATCCCAGGCTGCTCAGAGAGCAAGGGCCAGGCTCCAGAAGATGGCTCAGTGGTCTTGACGCCCCGTACGAGCTGCCTGGTAGCACAGGTTCAAATCCACTCAGAGGTGAAAGTAAGCCAGTACGGTCTGGTACGGCGTACCGGCAAGAGCCAGTGCGCCGTGCCGGACTGGACCAGCTTCCCCAGGCTGGCGATTTAAAGGGCCCGGGACTCCCTGCAGTGGCTGGAGCCCAGGGCCCTTTAAATCACCGCGTGAGCCCTGCTGCCAGAGCCCTGGGGTAATGGCGGCCGGGCTCCAGCGGTGATTTAAAGGGCCTGGAGCACCACTGCGGTAGCGGCGGCCAGAGCCCCAGGCCCTTTAAATCGCTCCGGGGCTCCCAGCCGCCTCTGCAGCTGGTAGCTCCAGGGGTGAATTAAAGGCCCTGGGGCTCCCAGCCAGAGCCCCAGGGCCTTTACATCTTGATTTAAAGCCCGCCCCCTTTTTCTGGCTGAGGCCCCGCCTCTTCCAGTCGAGGCCACGCCCCTGCGCAGGACTCCAGCGTACCGGTAAGTCCTTTAACTTACTTTCACCCCTGAATCCACTCCATCTTCAGCGCTGGTGGGGGTGGGGGATAGGAGACAATAGAAGGGCTGCATTCTGTTCTTCGGCTGGCTCCCCACAGCTGCGGAGCTGCCCACTCTGAGCAGAGAAGAAATGGCTGCAAGGCCCCCGTGACCCATCTGGCTTCTTCCAGTCCCTCCCAATCTCAGAGAAGGGCAGAGCAAGCGGCCGCCCTCTCCGAAGGGAAGGCAGCCCAGCCCAACCTTCCAGCAAAGGACACCTTCAGCCACGGAGGTGCGGCTGGAGGAGCCGGTCTCCGTCGGAGTAAGCTGCAGCGCCTCTCGCTCCGCCCGAACCGAGTTCCAGCCAACGTGTGGATCTTTGAGGCTAAGCTGAGCCCAGGGGCTGATTCTCTGCTGCATTTGGGGGGGGGGGGGGATTGTAGGGAGCTGGCTCCAGCGTCCCGATTCTGTGGCCTGATCTGCGCTGGTCCCAGGATGAGCTAGAAAAGC